TGGTATTAACCCTGTTTGTACGTTAATACCTCCAAAAGGTTTTATTTACTAGCTTCAAACTTTAAACAATTAATACTTGAAATTTCTGAGGTAGCCAAACTAAAAGAACAACATATGATGATTTCAAAATATCTTTAGTTTGCATAATTATTTACTGATGTCAAGAGACCATTGACACAGGAATAAATTTACGTATACAAGTTTTATGACAAGAGAACAAATTATGTTTCTTCATTTATGCTAGAAACCATCAATCTATTAAAGTTACTTTCTTATAAAAAAAATGTTTAACATTCAAAACCAGTATCAAAATTAATTCAGGTCAAATAATTTTAAAGTACATTTCATGCTCGACTAATTATAAAATAACTTCAAAGGAGGGGAAAATACAGCACCAAAAATACAAATGTCATTAAACTACACACCTAGATTCAATATTAACTGAAGTTATATATCAGTTAATGATAGGAGTACTTATTTTTGTTTGTTAATGTTTAATATGTATATCACATGTCCTACATGATTTTATAGCCATTTTTTAAAGCAACTTAAAATCAAGAGATAATTTTTACAAGATTAACCAGAAATTTCATGTTAATAATGTTAATGTAGTTTTAATGTGAAAAACAGAATAGATTATCCAAACTCACTATTTAGTGTAATACTGCATCATTAGAACTTATAATTCATATGTAAAAATGTTATTAAATGGGAACCAAACGGATGCAACTGTTGGTGTCAGCTATCCAGTTTTGTTAAAAGCTCTAACAGTCAAGGTACTATAACTTATGCCATCCACTATTACTTGTCCTAGAAGTTTATATATAGCCTAGCTATAACAGGATGGAATTCATACTGGTACAAAATGTAATGTTAATTCATATGCTATTTTGAGGTCATGGATTGATTTAGCGAGCCAAAAGGTGCGTATTTTTATATATACACACACACACACACACTCATAATGTCAAGTACGCATACATAAATTACTAAAATTGACTGATGTAGACTACACTTGAATGTATGAAATATGTTGCTATGCAACTTATGAGATTCTTTGTACAGATAAAACAGAAGTAAAAAAAATAGCTATTTTCTCTAATCACTTGTAGTTTGTTGAAATCCAGGTGATTCAATATAAATAAATTCCCCAACTATGTTTCAATTTTTCTGCTGAAGTCTTTTTTTTTTTCAGGCCACTGTGGAAGTACTATTTCAAATTTCAATGGGTGAGTGGGGCAACTTTCATTGGTTTTTATTTAAAGATTGGAATGTCAAAATCAGTCTATTTTGGGGGGAATTTGTTCTAATTATTTTCTACATTATTCAATAACCTTGCAAATAGTGCAACCCCCCCCCCCCCCCAAACACACAGGTAGGTATGTATGTATTGTTCCCAAAATGAATTATATTAAACACTTAGGGGAGGGTTGCTACACTGATGACATCCCTGCTGTGTTTTCTGTGTCACTGGAATTCATGTTAGAAATGTTGAACTTGTGGCTGGCTGTCCATGGGCTGTTTATTCTTTGATGTCTTCATTGTGAATGTGGTTTGGGGAAGAGTGAATGTCCAAATGTAACAGATTTCAAAATATTTTTTTTTGTTTTTGTTTGAGGGTTTTGATTTAGAAGAATTCTTTAATCTTTTGTGATTTTTCTGAAGTTGTCTTGGAAAAAAAATTAAAGAATCCTTTTACAAAAATATATCAAATAATCAACTTTCAATTTGAATCAATGCCTAGAGATCAAAGATATTTGGACATTCACTCTCCAAGACAACACTGGAAAATCAAAGTTATGACATCATACACAGACAGCCCACATGTAGGCTCTCCTTAAACACTGCATAAATGACAACATTCAGCACAACTAAAACAAGAGTTCTGGAACAGGTCCAAGCTTTCAACATAAATTCCAATGACAAAAATGACACAGTGGCCTGAAGACGACCTCAGAAGAGAATTGAAAATATTGTCCTACTTAAAAAAAAAAAAAAAAGGGTAGGAGCAGTCCATCACAAATGTATCTACTTCCTAAAATACCAATAAAAATTGTATTAATTTTAGAAAAATGTATACTATTTAATTAAAGAATTTCACTTAAATAAAACTAAGCTGCATCTGTTATAACGTGTGTGTGTATATATATAAATATTGTCTTAAGACTTTAATACCAATGCTAAACATATATATATATATATATTACATAAAATACATTTAGAGAAAAATCTTAAAAAGATCCTTAAGTAACCCACTAATTCCCAAAGTGGAAAGTACTATATTAAAATAAATATTGTAAGTATATACAAGCATAATTTCCTAATCAATACACAGTGTATACATTTTAGTTTGTTTGTTTTAATTGCAACAGATCATATTTTCCAAAAATTAACTCACCATATTTTTATAACACGGTAGTACTCAGAACTGTATATTAATGATAGAACTGTCACAGTCAATTACAGGAAGGTTAAAAATTTGTAAATGTCAGTGTAAGATCATTAAAACAACATATAAACAACAAGGGGCCATTTGGACCTTCAAGGCTGTCCCTATACACTCATTCCCAAGAAAAAGAAAAGTAAATATTAAAGCCACTGTTGATTTTTCAGGAAACCATCAACTCCCCCTTCTTAAACTCTTTTAAGGTGCTGGCCTACAATACTGCCAATGGAAATACATTCCATAATATAATCATGCAGTTAGAAAAATAAAATTGTCTTGACTGAAGCTTTGCGTGTCCCTTCCAAGTCTTAAATTCAAACCCTCTCATCCTATTGTCTTCAAAATTCAGTAAAGAAAACCCGAAAAGTCAGTATACTTCATTAGATAAAGCCAAAACTGTACACAATATTCCAAGTGAGGCCTAACTGGGAATTATCATAGAGATAATTACCTTAAAGACAGAAACCACATTCTTTTGTTTGAATGAAACATTCATTTTATGAAATTTTGATATCATGAAGAAAACTACAAATAAAAAAATAACAGAGAATGTCCAAGACCCTTCAAATAACTGGCTGGTCAAATCAAGATATTTGCTTAGTCCATCCACTGCAATTTCATCAACTAGGAAGTGCTAGATAATTAACTTTTGCACTAGTAATTAACTTTGTGTATTTGTTAAATTTGTTAAAAGTATGATATCATGTCCCTGTATCTCTTGATCGATTCATCAATACTAAAATTCTAAATTTAAAGTATCTTATAAATGTAGAATTTCTTACATAACTTTCTTTTTCCAAAAGAGGGCACTCAACAACAACAACAAAAAGAAACCATTACAAAATTTGCTCTTTTAATGAAATTTGTTTTTCACTTAAAAACAATGTTTGGATGCTTAAGCAATTGTGTTTGATAATTCACATTAGAGACAAGAAAATTAAAATTTATTAATGTTAATGATACTTATGAAGAGAGCATACCAAATGTATTTTAGTTTCTTAAAATGCTATTAGGTGGAACTAAATATATTTTATCTGATTTATCACTGACAAGCATGTACATGGAAATATAAACATCAATTTTTTACCAGAAGATACTAAACACAAAAAACATACAAGTAAGTTAACCTTAAGATGTGTCCATGGATTTATCACAATATTATGCTTTTAAAGTCAAATGAAACACATTAAAGTTACAAAAGAAATATTTTTATTAAACTATTTGGAGAAGAGTGGCAGTAACTGTAGTATGTACATCAATAGTCTTCTTCTCACCCAGGCCATTAAATTAGCATGGAAACATTCTAAAATTAGGTTAAATAAACATTGATAATTAGTTTTTATCTAAGATGGTTTATTATTCATGAGTTTAACTTGATATCATATTAACTTCTTTTTACATGTTCTTTTGAATTCTTAGCTTTCCTTAATATTTTACTCACACCCTTGATATTCAATTAGCAGAAATTCATAAGTGCTAAAGTTAAATTTATAATGGAACCCGAGGCAGCAAATGAAAATTAAATTGTTCCAAACCTTAGTCAAGAAATTATAGGTCATCGATAATTCCATTTCAGATAACTATAAGCAAAATCAAAGACTTAAGTACAAGTTACTGTAATCATCTGTATGTCAAAATCAATACAAATGCTTAAAATGGCACGACTCATAACACTTAAGGACAACAAGGGACTTACTGGTCCATCAAGGCTGTCCCATCCACTAGACTTTTGGAAAAATTCAAAGCCAGCATAATTATTCAAATATTTATCAAGCCTTCCTTAAATTTACTGAAGGCAACACACTCCAAAGGTCAGAAAAATATAACCACCTTAGCTGAGAAGGACTCCCATCCTGCCAAAATTTATATTTGTGTCACCTTGTCCTACCATTCTAATCATTAAGCACGAAAAAAGATGATACATTAACACTTTTAACCCTCTTAACAAACTTAAACACTACTATCACTGATAGTGATAGTATCAGATCCCAGAGACTTTAAACTGTCCTAGTACAACATATATCATCCTAGTAGTAGCCCTCTTCAGACCTTTTTGTTTTTCTAACGGTGATAGACACAACATAAGCTCAGGTAAAGTGAGCAACTGAGGGCACTAAGTTACAATATCTTGTTGTTACAGTGCCAACTCTGTTGAAAAAGAATATGCTTGTCAGTCTTTGCTCTTTCCATATATATATATTAAGTAATAAAAACCTGGTAACATGTGAATACATACATTTACTTTCAAATTAGCGTAAGTTCACAATTCCTTCATGAGCAGTCTCTGCAGGTTAACTGTTAACACCAATCCTCCTTTCTCTGATTGAAAGACCAGGTGTCTCACGACTATACATCTTTGAAAAGTTAAATTTAAATAGGTTGATAATAATATGTTATACCAATTTTGTTATTATAAATTATATATTAAAATAATATCAAACTGGGTAAAATTATTCCTTTTTCTTCTTAAAAGACTTAATGGCATTAATTAATTTGACTGAAATCTCACTTCATAATTTATAATTTTCTTACTAACATGATTAGGCTAACTTACCTCCGCCGAACAAAACTTGTTTTTTAAAGAAATATTCTATTTCAGCGTTATAATGTTCAGTGTATGCTCCAAGTCGATTTCCGGTACTTCGAGATTCTGTCCAGTGCACCTTTGCTACACCTCGCATAAACACGCGAAGGGACTTCATTTTCATATCTCCTCTCAAGTCTACAACACATTTACCACTGACTTCTTGTCCAGGGTAAAAGACGGCTTTATTACCGTCAAAAATTATCTCGAAAGCTTTTAACTTCCCCATACTTGCTGAAAAGTGAAATCAATATTAAATTAATTAGTGCACAAGCTCCCACAACTAGTTTTTGACATGTCACAACGATAATCGTTATCACGAAGTTAAAATCTGTAACACTCTTCCGTTCGTCTACTGAAATGTGGAACAAAACACAAAGGGTTGAACAATATATCGCATTTTGTTTCGTAATCTAGTACAATTCGACAGCACCTAATAGGATTACCTTTCTAGCTACAAATGATTTGAATATGGTAATGCGCATGCGGATGTGATATAGTTTAGTTTAGAGGGCACTCAGTTCGCGTTCCTTTAGAAGGCTCCCTCCATTCAATAATAGACCCACCCGCTTTTTCTTGAAAATCGTTAACAGTGAAGAAGTGAACTGTTTACACCAAAACGGTTGTAAATAGCTATGTACCAAACTCTTTGGTGAACACAAATAATGACAAAAATAGTACATATAACTCAAACATAACTGTAATTACACTGAATGTAAGGATAGAATTAAATAATTTGAGGCAAAAACAATAAAAACTTTTGTTTGTTAGTTTCATATATATTCACACAAAGCTACACAAGAGCAATATGAATTAGCCTTCACTACTTTTGAACCCTACAGACTAGAGGGAAGGCTGATTGTCAACATCACCCACCGCCAACTCTTGGGCTACTCTAATTCAGTAATGGGATATGGCCGTTAGTCTTAAAACGCAACCGCGTCCGCAAAGTGTGGAGACCAATTTTGCAGCTACAGGACGCAGAGACATCTTTACATGCTTAAAAGATTCGGGGCTCAGGCCCATAAGCGCGGAAATTTTTGGTGTTCCAGTATGATATCGATCATGGTTTTTCTATTCTGATTTCTCAAGACACCAACTGGGATTTCGGGGCACTGTCAAATATAATCGGGCAAACGCCTAGAAATGCCTCTGACAGGACGAGAACATGAACTTTTGGATTTACGTCCGGCAGGCTAACCACAAGGCCGCGCAACCTTTACACTAATATTTATATTTATAAAATTAAAAAAGTGAATTTCATCAGCTATTTCAAGATCAGTAATTTTGGTTAATTAATGTTTTGTGTCAGTAAACCATTTCTACGATAATTTTGCTCAAAAAATCGTCATTGTGTCACAATAAACGAATTCTTACAAGCTTTGTATTTTTTATTTGGTAACACGTGTATAATTTGACCAACATGAATGATGTCTTTCAGCAAACGGCCCGGCATGGCCAGGTGGTTAGGGCGCTCGACTCGCAATCCGCGAGTCGCGGGTTCGAATTCCCATTAAAGCAAACATGCTCGCCCTATCAGCCGTGGGGGCGTTATAATGTGACGGTCAATCCCACTATCCGTCGGTAAAAGAGTAGCCCAAGAGTTGGCGGTGAGTGGTGATGACTAGCTGCCTTCCCTCTAGTCTTACACTGCTAAATTAGGGACGGCTAGCGCAGATAGCCCTCGTGTAGCTTTGTGCGAAATCCATAAGAAACAAACAAACTTTCAGCAAATACAGGTCAAGTTGCAGATATATATTTATTCAAACTTGAATTTTATATATATATATATATAATCTTAGTAAGAAAGAGTATATTTAAGTTTTGGACATCAGTTTATGTTTACAGATATAATGATGATATTTCGTTGAAAAATCATCAAAGTTTTCTTGAACCAGTCAAACAAACTTATCCACCAGAATTCACTCTGGAAAAAGTTCTTTCAGTACAAACATAGCACAAACGATCAAGCTACTCGAGGGCTATCTGCGCTAGCCGTCCCTAATTTAGCAGTGTAAGACTAAAGGGAAGGCAGCTAGTCATCACCACCCACCGCCAATTCTTGGGCTACTCTTATACCAACGAATAGTGGGATTGACCGTCACATTATAACGTTCCCACGGCGAGCAAGTTTGGTGGGACGGGGATTCGAACCCGCGACCCTCAGATTGCGAGTCGAGCGCCCTAATCACCTGGCCATGCCGGGACAATTTTGATGTTATAAACTTTGTATTTTTGAATTCAAACATTCCAAATAAGTTAGCTTACGATTTTTACTTTGTTTGTTTGAAGCTAAGTACAAAGCTACACAATAAGCTATCTGTGCTCTGCCCACCATGGTTTCTAGCATTGTAAATCATCAGCCATATTGCTGTGCCACTGGGAGGAGAGAGCACGATTTATAAGATACAACAGAACTTATTTAACGTTACAAGATTTCGCGAACAAGGCTCGTAAACTCACTCTCATTTTTCACAAGCATGATGTTTCTGCTACCGCATTTTGAACACCAGATTTATTAAATGTTTTGGGTAAATTCAACAATCTTCTTGCTACCGATTATGGTATTAATAATTTACTAAATATCATGACCTCTTCAAAACTATCACGTCTACATCTTAATTTGTTAAATATTTTTTTAAGATTATAATGAACAATTTTAGTACAGTGACCGTCAGTATTTTAAACTTTCACTATATTTAATGCTAGCTGTATAAAACTTCCCCCAAACCTTGAAAATTCCTTATATAGTATACCAAACACTCCAAATTGATTACATCTAGGCCTTGGTTGTTGTTAAGTACAAAGCTACACAATGAACTAGCTGTGCTCTGCCCACCACGGGTATCGAAACGTGATTTTTAAGTGTAATAAACCTTGCAGACTTACCGCTGAGCCAGTGAAGGGAAAATTGATTACGACAGTAGTTTAGATACATTCGTTTTTATTGATAATTTTAATTAACATATTTGTCATTGTTATTACCTCTTTTTTAAGCTGTATTATTGCAATCTTTCTCGCTCTGTAAACAGAATAAACTCTGATTAGTTGTTTTAGACAGCTCATTGAATGTTTAGTAAGTTATTCGAATTAGAATATTAATATTTTTACTGCTTACTTAATGGTTTTCATTATTTTATTTTGTTACTCATTATTCTTTTATTTTCATAAATATTGGACGTTTTGCTGTAATGTCTGTACGGTCTTACTATCTGACTCTATAATTAAACAGTAGCACGTATTGTAATACTTTATTTCAGATGCTACTCAAGTTACACTGTCAAAGTCGTTTTTTTAATGGGCATCCATTGTTCACTAGTAGTCGTCAGGAGAATTTTATAATTGTATTTCTCTTTTCAACAGACAGGAAAGCTGTAGTAATCATGAATAAAACAATATTTTGACAATAATACTCTCCAGAGTAATTTTCTTGACAAAATTTCCAAGTCCCTCCAGCATGCAGTACAGATTCACTAATGATAGTTTTATTAATAATATTGGTTCAAATGTTTAATATAGTTATATATATATATGTTCATCAATTTTTATTATGAAGTTGATTTTGCATTTTTTTTAGCTTAGTACGTTGATTTAGAACTAAATGAAGTCTTCAGAGTTGGCTGAAATTCGTGAGTTTTTACTGGGATTACGGACGAAAATCTTGTTAACAACATGATGAATCAATGAATTTCTAATAATTATATTAACGGTACATTGAATTATTCATATTCATTACTAATATAGTTGATTTGATTAGCATGTTATCAGCTTACTTTGCATCGCATATTCTCACGACATCCAATGTAGACTGTTTGGCACGAAATCCATGAGAACATCCACTGTATTTCCAATTTTTTAGATGATAGAAAAGCCAAAAAAACAACTCTACTTGCTTTAAACCAGATGTAGTAATTCTTCAGTAATCAGCCCTTCATTATTTATTATGGATGTCAGTAATATGCCTTCATTTGATATTAATTTGAAGATTATGTGTATGGCTATCAATAAGACCTTCCTAGGCTATAAGTGATATCCAACTTCTCATATATCAAGCATGATCAACGATGTAATAAATGGCGTATTACGATAAACCCTTCGAAACCGCAAGTAATATGTTTCATGAAATTCCCAAGACACCTCAAGAAAAAAATCCTTAAAAAAGTTTATTTATATGAAATTTAGCTCCAAGTAGACATATCCGCTCAATTCTCGGGTATGATTTATGATATACAATTACCTCGGATAAAACACTGAAGAAACGAAGAACAAAGTCTGGAAATTAAACTATTATGTGTGAAGTCTATAGTTGACAACAGCAGAAAGATTGCAGTTAAAAATATGTACAAGAAAAATTAATCGGTTGTGTCTCTAAATTTACGCATCCAACTTTTGTTAAATGTTATAAAATTTTATAGTGCTAAATTACAAACTATTCAAAATTCCGGCCCCCTGGTAGTTCAGAGGTAAGTCTGTGGATTTATAACACTAAAATTCTGATTTCGATACCAGCGATGGGCAGAGTACAGATAGCCCATTTCACAGTTTCTTGCTTAGCAACAAACATACAAAATCAAAATTTGGATAAATGCTCAGTTTATGAGTTTCTTAATCAATCACCGAAAATTTCATTCAGAACTATACAAACCTACAAATATTGCTCTATTAATTATTTAAAAAATACAAGAACAAAAAAAAATATGCTGACGTGTTACTTTCTTAAGTATAGTAAACATTAAAACCGCTATATTTTACCATTCTATAACTAAATAATATGATATATTTAGGTATATTCAGGTAAACTTTTCAAGATAGTTTGCGCAGATGTTCTGCAGGGCGTAAAATATTTTGGATTAAAACAGACCTGCTTATTTAAGTATACACAGTTGAAAGTTAAAAATGAGTAGAAAATTACCGCTACTACAATCAAAAGGCATAAAAACATGTAGGGATTATATATTTCCAAAATAATTTAATTTATTTATAGGTGGCGTTTTGGATTACCGCCCTTTTTCAGACCTATATATATTTTATTTTTTTAATTTAAAAAATTGAGTACATTACTGGCGTTAGCTACAACTTAAACACACATTATTCTAAACAGAGTTAACTCAAGGACATTACTAAAATGGTTTGTTTGGGGTTAAGCACGAAGCTACACAATGGGCAATGTTTGGTGTTCCCACCAAGGGTATCGAAATCCGATCTTCAGCGTTATAAGGATGGAGACTTACTGCTAAGCCAATGAGGAACTACCGAAAATGCTTGAGTGTACGATATTGAAAAAATACAAAGTATTGGCTTTTGTTGTTGTTGTTAAGTTAGAACCTAGTTGATTTAATAAGTGCATGAAACTAAAGCTAGCATTGGCGATGGATGTCATGAAGGGAGGAAAAAAGTCTGTACATATGTAGTGTGCAAATAATATATATTTTATTCTCCTACGATGTAAGTT